GACATACATACATCTCTCACTCACTCACTCACTCACTCACTCACTCACTCACTCACTCACTCACTCACCCATTGACCCGTCCATAACATATCCGACGCGCCGACTAAGAGGTATTTTTTTTCCAAAAAAAATAACTCAAAAAGACGTTTTAAAAATTGGCCGTCGTAGTTCACGTTTCCTCGAATATGCAGATTTGACTATTTCAAGTTGTTGTTTGATAAAGAACGGCAAAGAAATGAACAAAGCATTATAACGCACGCTCATACAGTCACTGTACTCGTTGCCGTTGCAGTTGTGGTTTGCTTTTTAAACTCCCTAAAACCGAATAAATGGAAAAATAATGAACAGTCAAACGAGCACAAAGCAAATGAAAGCCCAGCCGAGCAAAAAGACGGCTGAGAGTGCAGAAAACATATCTGTTATAGAAACGTCTTTTGAAAATCAAAACACATAAAATGACTTTTCACCAAATTTCCCGCCAGTTTCGAGAAAGCCGCTTGGGCCGTTCGCGCATTGCGCGAGGTACGTCCCCGGAGGAACCTTGGTACCGTGTCTAAAAACAACTTACGAGGGATTACCTTGGATCTAATGCCTACATGGGGGATTCACTCTCTTACCTTGATAATCTCTTGGTTCTTGTTTTTTTATCCTCTCTCGACACGTTCTGTTAAACATTTTCGACAGAAATACAATATGTTCTGGTCTAAGAAGAAGAACAAGTCCTCGAACGAAATTCGAGAGCTTACATGCTAGAACACAAATTATCTCGGGCGACTAACACTGCAGGGTTACCTCCCTCAACATTAAATTTCTAGCTACCATTTATACCACCCAACTGTCAGTGCCTTGATAAAATCACTCCGAGTGGGATTCGTGCCCACTCTTAATCATTTACAAAGACGTGTTGGATGCTCTTTCCCATAATCCCTCTCGTCCAACAATTATCACCGGGAACCATTCAGGCTACAAGCTTTCGCCTGGTTCATTATTCCTGCCTTCAGCAGTTGGAGGTCCTGGAGCGCAGGAGCAGCATGGCGTTTCAGACGTCTTGCGCGTGTTAGCATCCCACGCAGATGCTCTTAAGCCTCGTCACGCGTGACGAGCCCAAAGAGAGTCTGCGTGGGAGGCTACGCGCGAGTTGGCTATTGTATCTATTTCGAGCTAAAGCTTGGCAAAGCATTTCTGGCAATATTTATTAATTTCCTGTGTATTCTATACAATTTTGTTTTTGTTTGTCGTAATCAGCCTCATTTTCAAAGTCATATAATGAGGCAAGTAATTCAAGTCTTTACCAGTCATGCCAGATCCCAGGGTCCCTCTCCTCAACTTTTCCTCGAGCCACGAATTTCAATGCCACCACATTATTTCACGAGGAGACTGATGTGTCAGAAAAAGAAGAGAGTGGAACGGAAACATGTCTCCAGAGAGATATGAACTGGCTTGAAACGGGCATTTTGTGGAGAAAGACAGTATTTTATTCCAACTTCCGGATGTCACTGACCTTCAAAGGCACACAATGGAAAAGGCAATCAATAATCTCTCAAACCCATTCAAGCTGGAGCTTATCGGGCACTTAAAAGACACAGTCGAACCTCCTGTTGCGACCACCTCTCGTAAGCAACCACCTATCCTCAGCGACCAGTTTTCCAAAATACCAAAATTTTCCAACTCAAACCACTATATTTGAAACCTCTTGTAAGCGACCACCTCTCGTAAGCGACCGAGACCACTTTTAGAGCTAAAAATTTGAATTTTTCTTTTGTTTTTAACCTTCCATAAGCGTCCAGTGGACAGATAATTGAACGAAAATTGGATAATAAGGTGTTGTAACATTATCGCATTCCTGGATAGTACAAGAGACGGAAATTTCTCGATGGGGAGTACCGGATTTTTTCTCAAAATCGACTTTTCACATGAATAAAGCATTTAAAACAGGGATAAGTCTCTTCAGTCACCCTATGCTAATGAGGCAAAACCTTGACCCAATATGGTCTAAGTTCTCGTAAACGACCATCTCCCGTCAGCGACTACCTAGGCTTGACATTTTTGGCGTGGTCGCTTACGGGAGGTTCAACTGTATACGCCTTTTTTTTTTCATGTAGCAAGCTTTCTTCAGCCAATCGACGACCAATTAAAAAGAAAGATCAGTAAAAGGAATTATAGGTGAAAACAGCGATGGCGCAGAAGAGAAGGTATTTTGACTGTTTTGGGACTTTTCGTTCTCTCCTTTGAAATTAAAATTTGTCAAAGTTATCACATCCTTAGTGCTCGATGATCCAATTTGTGGAATACACAGATGAAGAGCTTTCAAATGGTACGCGCTAAATGGGTATAGGAGGTCTATTAACTAAATTGGGAGAAGCCCGGACAGTTTAGAGCTGGAAGGGTGAAAGAGTCGCACTGAGCAAAATTCTAGCCAGAAATAAAAACCACTGGCACTCTCGTTTTCCCTGAAAACAATCTTGTCAATGGGAATTGTCGTTTTGTCATTCCATTTGTCCCTATCTTCATCGTAGCATTCTACAGGCACCTTGCCGACCGGAAAATAACAAGAACCCTTAAAGGGCTTTGGAAGTTCACCTCCAAGGACAAAAATGGTTTCATCAATCAACACCATTTTTCCACAATATCGAGGCACTGTCAAGCTGGCTATGAACTGCCATTCATTTGTCGCTATGTTGTAAACTTCACAGCTATTCAGCCAGACATGAACACCCCCGAGTCCTCCAGCAATGAAAATCTTTTCGTCATTTTTACTGACACCAAAAGCATCCATCCTCGCCTCTTTCAAAGGCGCTATTTCTTTCCATTCGTGTCCATTGGTGTCAAATGTTGAAGAGTGAGAGTGCGGGGCATTCTTTGAATAGATCTCAATACCATTGTAGCTATAACTATCGTCGCTGAGCATTCTTCCTCCGATAACATATATCAACCTGTCAACAACTACGGTACAAAATGATGCTATTTTAACCCAGTGAAACAACGGAGTCATTGAATTCAAATCAACATTGTATCTCCAAAGCGCCAAGGAGAGTCTTTCTGTTACAATAAAACATATCTCGTCTTTGATAACTAACACATCATGAATTTGTAAAGATGTGTAATCTAATGTCATAAATGCTAAGCTCGAATCCAGTTTTGTCCACGGTGCTGGAAACCAGCGGTTTAAATCTGGGTCATAGCATTGCGATCTGACGATGTGTTTGGTAACAACAAATACTTTGTTTCGATGCGAAAATACGCGCGTTGGTTCGCATGAGGTCGAGGGCAAGCGGTGCCACTGTTCCGTTGAAGGAAGATAAAATTGGTGTGGAAAAGTGGACGTTCACGTCCACAAACCGTGACTACGATAACATCTCTCTCCAGAGCCCTCCGTGGAGGGTGTGGCCGTGGAATGTCGCAATCTGTTGATCGATCAAGTCATTGTAATGCAAGAAAAACACTTTCGAGGCACTCGTCATCTCCTTTCACAAGATCATTTGTCACGACATCGCTCGTTAAAAAGTCACGCGATATACAGGTCAGTCGCACGTGACGAAACTAGTCACGAAATTTTACGCGTCGCTGGTTTTTGTCATGATCAATCCATCGTAGTACGAGTTCAAAAACATTTTCCTCGGCATCAATGACTATCTCATCGCTGGAAATCCATTTTTCAACCTCATGGCTTGAGAGGTTTAGAAAATCGTCGGATTCAGCGACGGAAGAAAAGTTTGAGTAGATCAATTTGAGACAGATATCGATCAGGTCTTGACATAAATACTTCTTAGCCAGGTAGTAAATCGAAATACAATTCGCAGTGCTGATGTTTTCCTCAACATATTTTCCGGCGAAAGCTTTCAGGTTTGAGAGGAGAAGATAATCTGCTAATTCGATCAGGTTCTCAGCATTTTCTTGAGTGGACATCTGAACGCTGTCGGTGTAAATAAACTCCAGAATATCTGCCATCTGAGACTCGAAGATCATCTCCTGTCTAATAACTCCTTCATTGTTCTCTTTCATGTCGCTGTTGAGGAGCTTTTCAAAGAAGCTGCTCGCCTGCGAAAGGACGCTTCTATGAGCCTGAAACTCCCTTCCATCTTTTACCACCAAAGTTTTTTTTTCTATTGCAATATCTTACATTACATTACATACAAAAATTACCTACTACTTACAATGTCAACGTAACTTACAATTTAACGATAATAACAAAACTTACAATAC